AAAAAAAAAAAAGAAAAAGAAAAAGAAAAAGAAAACCACAAAGTACCCCAACAGTAAATTCACTCTTTCCCTTTCTCCAACTCTCTCTCTCACACACACACATGCGCGCACACACACACGCACACACGCACACACACCCAGATCCATTAGCTAACTTAGTGGAAAAGACACTTTGATTCCTTCTTACATGTGAATTTAGCTCATAGAACTACTGAGGGAATATCACTGTCATGGGAGGACATGGAAAACACACAGGACTCTGAGCCAGTCCTAGTTTTACCCCTCATTAGCCTGTAACTTGGCTTTTCTGCTCCATCATCTATACAAGGAGAAGAGCAGTGACTAGCACCCACAAGCCTCCTTGGATAGACTCAGCAGGCAAGGTAAGCCACCATTTAAGAGCACAGGTTCAACCTCAGGCTGAATGGATGATTCAGATAGTGGCCTGGTCACTTCACTAGCTGTGTGACCTTAGCATCAATGTGCCTGGTGCATAGTAAGTGTCAAATGATCAGCCCCTGTCATTTCTCCTTTAAAAATTGTAAAGCGCTCCACCAGTATTCACTTCTATTATCTAAAGATGCACATAAAACCAGATACCCAGTAATAGAATATTCATCAAATGCCGTCTCAGTGTCCAGTATCATCTCCTTCCTTATCGCCAAAGCCAGCCTGCCCTCCTCAGATACGACACTCACATCTTGCACATGCTTACAGAGCTGGATGGCCAGCCATAATTCCACGCCGCAGCCTTTGAAGACTCAGCCAGCTGTATCAGGTAATAACCTCACTAAAGGTTATCCATCAGAAAGAAGAGAAACAAGTCCTGATTATTCTTGTCAGAGAAGTCATTAGATACGTACCATGGCTCCTATACAGTCTATCTGGCATTTATGGAAACAGCACACACCACAGGAAAATGTTGCCAAAGCAGATGAGTATTTAACCTAAGTGTTCAATAGGCTACTAATCCATTTCAAAGGTAGGTGATCTACCTTCAGAGAATCTTTCTGATTCACTACAGTTCTGACATTTGCTCAAGCTGCAAATTTTTTATTTGGGTTCCATAGCCATTTCAATAAATTGAACATGCCTTTTCTCCCCCTCCTGTTACACAGTAAAACCATGTGGAATATAGTTCCTACTCTGAGTGATTTAACCTCATTCCTGTTTAATTTGTCAGAAGCAAGCATCACTGATTTTTTTAACCCTCTCGTTGAAAGTCTAGGGCCTCCTTTCTAAATGAGAATACTATCCTTGGGATATTGGATTTCATTATTGGCTAGTTTCTGTTTAATCTTGGAGAAATCTCTGCAAAAGGAAACTGTTATTTTCTTTCCAGGAATTTAATATAACTGCTCCATACTCTTTAGAGTTTGACCTGGTTCAATTTCTCATGTTTATAAGCACTAACAGATACCAACATGTGAATAAAATGCATGACCTAACTTCTAAAAAATAACACCTAGGATCTGATATAAAAATGGGCCATGCTCTGGTTGGACAGACAAATGAAAACTGCATGATGTGGCTTTATCCCTCTTGATTAGTATATCCCAGACCAACAGTTGAAGATGTCCACCATATCTTGTTTTAAAAGATTTTCTGTGCCTACAAAATACTTATATCAGATGGCTGGAAGATTTTTACAGGGAATTTCTTAAATAATTTATCATGAGAATGAGTCATGTAGAAGCAACACGACTAAATTAACATACCCTTCATATGTAATGGAAATCCGGTCTTTTCCCTGGGAACTCATCTAATTCTCTCTTCTATAATTTTTGGGAGAATACAGTAAAAGCATTTAATACAGTAATGTTATTAGCAAAACAAGGACTTATGTAAGAGGCTTTACCTGGGTCATTATAAGTATTAGAGAATTATAAGATAAAGGGGTGTGGGCTTCTGGAGATTACTAAAATGGTGATATAGAAATTCCTTGTGCAGAAAGAAGGGAGATAAAACATATTATTCTAAGCCAGAAACTCTATACTATGAACCAATCTCTATACAGAAATAAGTATTTTAAATCTCAGAAACGGGAAATGATCATGGAATCCCTACTTGTGACCTATCAAAGTAAGGTTACCATCAAGTTTTATTTGATGTTAATAATAACATTATCCAAAGTACAGTAATCATATCATTAATTTTCTAGCAGCTTGGCCAAAATGTTTATCTAAGATAAAAGTATACTACAAAAAATTAACTTCAGGCTAGGTTTGTTGTGAACCAAAGTATTTTCCTCCAATCCTGATATTTAAATAGTTAAAAATAATAGTATGTTTCCTGATCATCATCTCCCCATTGCTCCTCCCTTCTAAGCACCCCTGCCTCCAGCAATCACCATCATTCTCTACTTCTGTGAGTTCAACTTTTTTCGATTCCACATGTGAGTGAAATCATGGTATTTGTCTTCCTATGCATGGTTTTATTTTACTTTAACATAATGTCTTTTGGGTTCATCCAGAATTATAGTTAAATTGGAGGAATAAATTTCAGATCTATTGTATAGCAAGATAATTATATTTAGTGACTATCTATCTATCGACAGGGTCTTACTCTGCTGCCCAAGCTACAGTGCAGCTGTATGATCTTGGCTCACTGCAACATCTGCCTCCTAGGCTTAAGTGATTCTCCAGCCTCAGTATCCCAAGCAGCTGGACTACAGACACACACCAGCATGTCCTGCTAATTTTTGTAATTTTCTGTAGAGATACGGTTTTGCCATGTTGCCCAGGCTGGTCTCAAACTCCTGGGCTCAAGCCATTCCCCTACTTTGGCCTCCCAAGTGCTGAGATTACATGCATGAGTCAAATGCCCAGTTACAATATATTCTTGAAAAACAAACAGTGGCTGTTATGTGCTCTCACCACAAAAATGATGTAATGCATTTGTTAATTAGCTAGATTTAACCATTCCACAATGTATACATACTTCAAAATCACGCTGTACATAATAAAGCATACTACGATATCTATCAATTAAAAATATTATAGCATGTAACAAAGGCCCTTATCTTTCTAAGCATTTTGGAAATTTTACTGTAAAGACTGATTTATTATTTTTCTTTTTTCTGACAGTGTCTGATTTTCTTCCCAGACATTAACTAAAAGTACTAAGGTTTATAATAGTGTCATTGGAGAGTCCATTAAAATAGCCTTTCCATGATTTCTGGTAGAGTTAACCTGTGTCAGCTCCTATCCTCAGCAAGGTTAGCAGAAGGCACTGCTGGGCTGGATGGAATCAGAAAGCAAGTATAAGTTTTCAAAACAGGTGCTACTGTTGACATAACCATTAAACATTCTGCTTGTGCATAGCTCCTAGAAGAATGGGTACTTCCTCATTTTAATTTTTAACACAAATCTCTGTATTCCACAAAAACTATTCCTGGCAGAATTTCCAGAATAATATATAATCTGTGAGTTGTGTCTCTTAGTATGACACCAAAGCTCACTCTCCAGTATTTGGAGACCTAATAGCAGAAGAAAGATTCACAGGCTGCACTTGGAAGTTACAGAAGTGACTAGCTTGGCAGTTGGCCTCGCCTGTTTTTCAAGAGTGGCACAGAGATAGTGAAGTAAAACAAAGCTAGAGGGGGTCACTCTGCGGTGCCTAAGAATGCCAGCTGCCAAACTTAAAGGATAAGGTAAAACTGTACATTCCAGAATCATAGAGAGTTAAAGATGAATGAGATCCTCAAGATCAGCCAGCTCAGGCATCATCAATATTCACTGTGTTTAGGAATCACTTGGGATGCTAGTGAAAGCTGCACCTTCCTAGTCCCATCCACTGAGATTCTGACTCAGCAGCAGAAGCAGCAGTGGTACCAGCAGTGATATATAACAGTTCTAAAGCACTAGCTTTGTGCCAGATACTGTGCTATGTTTTTTTAAAATGTCACCTTATTTCATTCTCAAAACAATCTTATTCAGTAGGTACTACTATTGCCCCCATTTTACAAACAAGGAAATCAAGGTAGAGTGACTAAGGCATCTCTCCAAGGACATTCTGCTAGGAGGCAGAAGAATAAGAATTCAAACCCAGACTTGTTTCAGAGTTTGAACTCTTAATCATCACCCTGAACTACCCACCAACAGGGTAAGGGTGAGGCCCAGGGCATCAGGAAAATGTCATAACTCCAGTCAATCTTTTCTGCATGGAGAAACTGAAACCAGGAGAAGTTATGTATCTCATCCAAGAAAAAAAATCCTTCAGTGCACTTGCAGGAAGAAATCCACCCCTGGATGACACCAACTATTCCTGAATATTCGTCAACATATGTTCCTCTAGGGAGGAAAAGGACAGAATGCATTATTAAAAGCTTTCTTGTTGGTTCCTGCTGTGTTACCATGACCAAGGTGCTGTTACAGGGCAGAGGCTCTCTCCTTTTCTGTCTAACTCACCATTCACTCAGAGAATATGACACACTCTGGTCAGCATACGGGACCCCCAATCATGACGATTCTTAAAAGGGAAAGCAGGAGGGAGAGATGCTATCATAATGGGAAGGTGGTAATTGGACTGAGGGAGATAAGTTTCACATAACCTGAAGGAAAAAAAAGATGTGATTCTTATATGCCTCCCAACTGTGGTCTTTCTCCCCCTAACCTGACCATTCTGAAATCTCAGTATATATCAAAATATTATCATCATTATTGCTTTAACATATGCAAGTAGGCAGACTACCCAGAATGATCAGATCTACCCTACACTGGAACTACTCACATACATTCTCTTAAAAGGTTACAAATATACTAACAGCCTTTAATGCAGAATGAGTTCAAAATGTCACAAATTTAAGGAAATTTGTCCCTTTTTGATGTTAAACCATCAGAGTAATTTAAGGGGACCATGAGCAAGAATAACAACCATTGTTCGGAATGAAAGATGAGCTAGCATGACCACAACACAGAGGCATTTTCAGATAACAAGTACAGGGGATCAGAATGTGTTCCTGTCCCAGTGACGCACACTGGTGATCACGTCAAACCAACCTTCATCACTTCCACCTGCAGGTCCTCGTTGAGCGAAGGCGTCACTTTCACGGCATTCAGGATCTGATTGAGCAGCTGCTTCTCATCAGAGTCTGTTTCCATGGATACAAACCTCTCTTCCGACAGAAGCTTCTGTAAAGAGGCACAAGGCAGTGATCACAGATAGGCTCTTCCCTGCTTCCTTATTTGGTTGTATCTTATTATGGATTGATGATCAGTCTTACTGGGGGGGGCGTGTAGCTGGAGGCTATTAGGAAAGAACTCATGCTATGTGCCATTAAAAAGAAAAATTCGACTGGGTTCGGTGGCTTATATCTGTAATCCCAGCATTCTGGGAGGCCAAGGTGGGTGGATCATGAGGTCAGGAGTTCGAGATCATCCTGGCCAACAGGGTAAAACCCCATCTCTACTAAAAACACAAAAATACGCTGGGGGTGGTGGTGGGTGCCTGTAATCTCAGCTACTTGGGAGGTTGAGGCGGAAGAATTGCTTGAACCTGGGCCAGGGGGAGGGGCATGGAGGTTGCAGTGAGTCCAGATCGTGCTACTGCACTCTAGCCTGGGTGACAGAGCAAGACTCTGTCTCAAAAAAAAAAAAAAAAAAAAAAAAAAAAAAAAAATGCAGATGGTTTTTGGCAAAGACCTTTTCCTGCTATTGGATTATTCATTCTAAATTTCCTCAAATAAAACTCTAATGTGCTTGCCATATAGGGTATTTAGGTGGTGAGGCTGAAGAATGTTCCTGCTGAGAGGAATCAAGCTCTGCCCAATAGTCATGCACACACATACACTTTCTAAATGTGGCTTCATCACAGGAAAGAAGGTCCTGTAGACAACAAGTTCATTTTTCAGGTTTTTATCTTTTAACTTTCTAATGTGAGCTATCATTTATCCAGGAATTATTTAGAAATCCAGAAATCTTAATGTATTTCCATCAGAAAATGCATCCTAAAAACCTAAACAAGAAGACTTTCATTTTCACAAGGACTCCCAGGAGTCCACCTCACAGGATAGGCTTTTTCTATTTCTCTTTCTCATTTTCATAAAATTCTTTTTCAGATTGTATCAAAACCCACCTGCCCACAACTTCTACTCCCTCATCTTCCCCTAGAGACACACGGATTAAGCTTCTAAAATATCTGAAACCAGCTATCAAGTCCACCCAAATCTTGTCTTCTCCACACTAAACCTCCTCAGGCTCCTCCGAATGTTCTCTGCCAAATAAGGTTTCACTTGTGTTCTTCTGCTTAGAATGTGGCCTCAAGAGTGGTCGATATTAACAAGTGATACCTAACTTGGATCACATTCTCAGGTCAAATGAGCTTAGTTGGTTGTCATAGCACATTCTATGCTGACTCACCTTGAAACCCCTAATTCTCATTCATAAGGACAGCAATTAAGCTGTTTTCATCCATGATGTCTTGGTGCAATAAGATCCCAGTATAGTCCTTAATGTTTATCCCTATTCAGTTTATTCTTTTCCAAAGTGGCTTCGAGTTGCAGCCTGTGGAGAACTTTGAGAATTCTGATTCATCCAGTGTAATGACTCCCTCTTTTACCTTCATGCCACTAAAGATTTTTAAAATATATTTCAAACCTTTTTAAGCCTACCTGAAATTTTGCCTATATTCTTTCAAAAGGTTTTTTTTTTTTCAAAATCATGTGATATACCCAAGAAAGCCCAGAATTAGAGTTTACATACAATTTATTTTTTACTTAAAGTGATAAAAACTGAGAAGCTCTAAAAATGTGCCTAAAGTTAGGAGGCAGCAGGGGGTGGTAAAAGGAAGACTCACAGCCCACCGAGTTGCTTAAGTTAATAAGATTCAGTAAGCCCATGAAAACATGGCACTGCAATTTAGAATATTCCACGGTTAAAGAAAAAAAGAGAGAGAGAAGCTAAATGGAAAATCTACACAATACTAGAGAAAAAAGAACAAAAGCGACAGATCAAAACACATTCTCATCCATGTTTATGGTTGGCCCAATGACCCTGGAGAAAAGCAAAAGCTTTATTTAAATAACATTATTCATAAAGTTTAAAAGATTCAAATGTTGCTGTGTATTAAAATATACATTATCTAATTCCAATCTGCTGGGGGAAAAAGAGCTGTTTCTATTTCATAAGTTTTGTCTCTTAAAAAGCATTAGGAACATTTCTGAACTCAAAAAGCTAACTATGAAGTAGTTCATAGTGACACGAAGACATCTGACAGATGCCACCACGGTTTATCCATGGCGACACTGAACAAACCTACGCAGGCTTCAACTTCACAGCACTTGTCTCTTAGAGGCCAACCGCTTTAAAAAGTCTGTGTGTTTACATAGTCATCACCTTTTTACTGCCAGAATTAGACCCATTATGTTTGGTGTAAAACACAAACCCAAAAAATGTATTCAAGCAAATCTGACTTTTCTTATTCAATTAAATTTCCTTTTTCTTCCTAATCTTGCTCTGCAAATAAAAGATAGTAATCCACTCATCAATCTAACTATGGAATAAAAAACAAAACAGAATCTTTCCAATTTACCATCAATTTTTATTATATAGAACCTTAGATGTTGAATGTATAAAGGATTTGAATTGGTATGAACAAAATCTATATTTGTGTGGGCTTAGCTAAGTACCTATGAATTAGTGTCTGATCACAAAGGTTCAATGAAATAATGCTGTATACAGAGAAATTCTGGTGCCTATACAAAAATCCTGTCATTTTCTATGGTTATTTCATAGTCCAATCAAATTTCTGTCTGAGTCTTTAAACAGCCAGTATTTAAAATGTTAACTATTTGCCCATTCAATGCCAAAGTGGTCTGTCAATTTCTATTATCCCATTGCATTCAGTCAAAGCCATACCTGCATCCCTGCCAAAGCATGTTGGGCCAGCTTCACATTCTTGGATTCCAAAGCCAACTGGAGAGGCAGCAGGCATTTCTCCCTGGCAAACACAAAAATAAGGACAACATGTGAGCTCAGCAAAGCTGGCAGTCAAGTGATATAAGCCTTATGTACATCCACCCCCAAATGACACTACACACATACACAAAAATTATAACCAATAATAAAAATGCACATGGGCTTAAGAGAAAACACTGCAAATAAGCTGTGCGGAAATGTCCCATCAACCCTTTGCCTTCTTGGTATAGCTACAAGAAGGGCAAACACAATGACCTTCACTAATTAGTACCTGGTACACTCATTAGTACACATTGGGACCCCAGCCAGTCTGTGAACCTGCTTTGTTCTTTCCCAAATTAACAGCAGTGCTCACACCCAGCACACCTTGGGTGAACAACTCTAGGAAGCACCATTAAGTAGATTTCTATATCTTGCTTCTACCTTTTCCTTACCTGGAAATTATATACATCACCATCAGCATTCTGCCTCATCAATATACACCAAAATTCTATTAGTTTGTCAATTCCTCCCCAACTGGAAGTATTCAACAATAATTTGTAAATTTAACATTTGCTCTATAGTCTCCATCAAGAAGTAGATTTTGTGACAGGTTCTTAATAAACATGTTTCCAAGACAGAAATACAAATGAACCATCAACAGCATTGGCTGATGAGAGATGCCTGGATGCAACATTATCTAGTGTCATGGGAGAGACAAAAATTAAAAAAATAAAAAACACTCAAAAACCAAAACAAACAAAAAACCATGGAGAGCTACTTGGATATTTTAAAGCTTAAAAACACAAAAACAAAACAAACAAAATGACAGGGCTTTGAAATAGGAATAAACCAAAAGAGTTACAAAGACAAAAATCTCTGTTAGAAGCATCTACTCTAAATAATTAAACAACAGACCAATAATTTTAATCAACCCATTATTTCCCTATGGTGTCATTAGCACAAAAATGTGACTTCATTTTACCAGGTTTCTCTGCCCTCACTTAAACCAGAGCAGCCCCATTCCTATCTGTTTCATATTTTCAGCATAAACTGAAAGATACATTGACTTTAGAGTGTGAAAGCTACCGCATTAGACTATAGGATTTCATCGTTGGAGAACTAAGAGTTACTGTCATAGAACACAATGAAACACAAAGTTAATTACAGCTCTGACTTCCCCCGTCCACTCTGCAGCTCTGCTGCTTTTCCATAAAATTCTGCTACCAGCAGCTCCACAACCAATGAAGTGAGAGTCACACATTCTTTAATATGCCAGCCACACAGACTACAAAAACAGACTATCAGGAAAAATATTTGCCTTCCTAATCCTCACCTTTCCCCTCATCAACCCAATGTTACAATATTCATTTTTATGGTGACAATTAACACTACAGCCATTTTTCATTAGATTCATCCTTTGACTTACCCAACTGTGTTACATACAGTTGGGTGGCTGTAACTTTGTCACGGTTACAACTGTGACAAGCTGACAATAAGGCAAACACTGTGGTGTAGTCAATTAGTGCAGGAATAGCTTTTTTTTTTTTCTAATTTTGTTTCTTTTGTTCAACGACAACCAGTTTAAGAGCTTAGAAAAATTAAATGGAGGCATGAAGGTAGAGTGGGAAGTAGAAACCATGGGCAGATGCTATGCTAACAGAAGCAGCACAGAAATTCATCTGTAAACCCTTGGAACAATCAGATTTCCACCAGGATTAATCCACTGTGAAAGAACGCTCAACTTGGATTTGGAGTCAGATTGGCCAATGAAAGGGCATAATAGAAGGGAAAAAGCATGGAAGTCCAAAAGTCTTACAGCCTAATAGCCCAGGGAAGAGAAAATCTATCCAGTAGCTAAGGGCTAAAAATGTACAAGAATTTACACATTACACATTGGGTACCCATTGAGATTGGATGCCATGTCCAGCAACAAGGACCCTTTTGGAAATGCTCAACCTGTTGACTCTTGGAAAGCAGCAATATATTCACCTATCCATATTACTCTGCCATTTGCAGTATTAGCCCTTGAAATCCTTATTCCACTCTCTCACCTGCTTATACATTCACATGACATACCATTGACCTAAGCCAGGTTGCTGACAAATGCCAGGATCTCCAGATTGCACCACCACCAGGGGACATCACTGCACTGTTCCCATACAAGCCATGGTCACCAGGCAGGACTGGTAGAGGAAGGTGGTTTAACTAGGTTTTGTCTGAGTTGAAAGATATGGGTGTTTAGTAGAAAGAACATAGACTGTGGAATCACACTAGATGTGAATTCAAATGCTAAGCATTGATATGTTTTGCAGTCTCAATTGGGATACTAAACTCTGTGGGTCTTAGCTCCCTTATCCATAAAAAGGGCATTTTAAGACCAATCCTGCAGAGTTGGAGTATAATATGTAGATAACATGAAGATGATATATGCAACAGAGATTGTCAAACTTTTTTGGTAGAGAGCCCCATAATAAATATTTTAGATCAGGCATTCCAAACGGTCTCTGTCCTAACTATCCAACTCTGCTAAAGCACAAAAGCAATAACAGACAATTAGTAAACCAATGAGTATGATTATATGCTAATAAAACTTTATATACAAAAACAGGCAAAAAGCCAGACTTGGCCTACAGGCTGTAGTTTGCCCAGCATTGATATAGACAAAGTGCCCAGCACAGATCATGATCTTAGTATGGGACAAGCAAATCAATCTTTTTATGTATCCAGAAAGATTTTGCATAAGACAGCAGCTAACTGTCCCAGGGAAGGTCATAGCAGAGGCAAGCACAGCAACAAGATCTCCCTTATAAAATAAATGCTTTGGGGAAATATCACTGCAAAAGACTTCAACTGGATATTAAACCAAGGCACTCCATCATTCAACCATCCATCCAATCATCCATTCAAACAACATTTGAGTGCCTCCTGAGTGCCAGGCAGCATGCTGAGAGCTAGGGAAGGGTCAGCAAGGACCAAGTTCACAACAGGTACCTGCTTTCATTAGTATTCATGGGACAAAGAGAGAAAAAAGAAAGTTAGCACTTACTATTTCTCTCATCTTAACTGTCACTACAACCTTCTTACCCTTATTCTAAATTTGAGAAAACTGAGGTTCAGAAACTGTCCAAGGCCACACAGTTAATATGTGTTGGAAACAAACTTAAATTCATCTGACTCCCAAGAACAAGTTCTTTTCAACTTCCTTTGGTCTCATAAGATGAGAGAAAAGCTAGAATAGACGTGTTTCTTAACTCATTTTAGTTCTTACACACACACACACACACACACACACACACACACACACACAAAATCTGGCAAAGGACCCTCTTCCCAGGGGAGGGTACCTATCATTTCTGGGAATCCACAGGTACCCAAACCTCAACTCTACATGGATCCCAAGTTAGGAGTCCTTGCCCTTGGGAGAAAGAACTCTGCTCCACATTCGAGGTCTGTATCAGATAAGAAGGCAGTGCAACCTGGCTGGGGTTCTGCTAGGACGGCCTTGGAAGAGATGCTACACTGAGCCCTGAGTAGCTCTCGTGTGTGTGTGCGCGCGCGCACACGTGTGTTTGCGTGCACCATAGGTATATGCATATATATGTAGGTGTAGGTTACTATAAACATTTTATATTGAAATTGAGGAACAATGCTTAAGAAAATGTCTACAATGTCAATAGTGCTTTTTACTGCAAAGTAGTTTCTTCTTACTGTATCTTCAACAACAATATTTGATCAAATAGATATTTAAAATGAAATGCATAACAAAAGGTTTTTTTTTTTTTTTTTTTTTTTTTTTTTTGGTAGTAACTACTAGTAAGAACAAAAGTGTACCCACCAGCCTAATGCTTTTAAATAAGTAACCAAAATAAATGTGAGGCTGGGTGGAGTGGCTCACGCCTGTAATCCAGCACTTTAGGAGGCTGGGCCAGGTGGGTCACAAGGTCAGGAGTTTGAGACCAGCCTGCCCAACATGGTGAAACCCTCTATGTACTAAAAACACAAAAATTAGCTGGGTGTGGTGGCACGTGCTTGTAATTCCAGCTACTTAGGCTGAGGCAGGAGAATCGCTTCAATGTGGGAGGTGGAGGTTGCAGTGAGCTGAGATCAAGCCACGGCACTCCAGCTTGGGCAATGGAGTGAGACTCCATCTCAAAAATAAATAAATAAATGTGAATAAGAATGATTTACTGTAGTAGTAACACACAATTGATAGGACAAGAATAATCTGTAGCTGGGCGCGGTGGCTCAAGCCTGTAATCCCAGCACTTTGGGAGGCGGAGGCGGGTGGATCACGAGGTCGAGAGATCGAGACCATCCTGGTCTACATGGTGAAACCCCGTCTCTACTAAAAATACCAAAAATTAGCTGGGCATGGTGGCTCGTGCCTGCAATCCTAGCTACTCAGGAGGCTGAGGCAGGAGAATTGCCTGAACCCAGGAGGCGGAGGTTGCGGTGAGCCGAGATCGCGCCATTGCACTCCAGCCTGGGTAACAAGAGCGAAACTCCGTCTCAAAAAAAAAAAAAAAGAACAATCTGTATCGAAGGCTTCTTATCCCCTCAGACCTAGCAGCCCCCTAGAGTATCACAGGCCTCAGATCCTGACTGCAATTGGAAATGAACCCATGTGCAAAAGAAGGAAATTCATAGGGCAGAACTAATTTTGCTGCTTCCTCTGTGATATCCTAAGAACCCTCCTACCTTCATTTTTTTCTAAAAGTGATTCTAATGAAAGAGAAAGCAGGCCTGTTAATTGGGTCTCAGGATGAAATTTATAATGAATAAATATTATAATGAAATTTATAATTTATAATGAAAATGCAACATGGCACACACTGTATTGGAATAATCCCCTTTGCACACACTGTATTGGAATAAATCATCTTTTGATCTTTCTAGATGCTGCCTCATGGGAAAAAGGAATAGCAAAAACCAACATTCGATTACATTAAGTGATTATTTTTTATGCACGGGCACATGAAAATTTGTTCTTGCTTAATTAAAGGCAGTGTCCCCAGGTTTCGTGTCCTGCCATGCCATTAT